TCTACCCTTGAAGCACCCCCCTTTTTCTCCGCCTCCCCCCCAATACTGTGACACTCCACCCTCACCCAGAGATTCCTGAAACCCGTTTCATTATTCTGGATCTTCCCTGCAACCCAGAGCTTCCTGCCCAGGTCTTCAGCTTGTCACTGTCAGTGACCAGATGTGGAACACCACAGCTGTCGTCCACACCCCACAGCTCTCGGGGCTATGGTTATGGTCACAGGGAAACCGGAGGTAAGAGTGAGGGCTGCCGGGCCCTAGTTGGGGGCCATTCAGTCCGTGTGCAGGGCCGAATCGACAACCAGGACCTTGGTCTGAAAACGGGAGATGTCTAGGCTTGGGCAGGGGACAGAGGGCTAGTTCCAGACCTGCGAAGAGATGGTGTGGGACCAGGGGCTGGGGCCCCAGGGCCTCCCCACAGAGTATTCAGTTCCCAGAACACCAGCATTTCCACCCCACTTCCCAGTATTGTTGGATACACACACATTCCTCCACTCTGCTTCATGGGCCTAGACCCCCACTTACAGGCGCAGTCAGAACTATGAAGTCCCTGGGGCCCCAGGAAACGGGTGTGGGAAGAAAGGAAGAATAGCCAAGTGATATGAAGGGGCAAGGCAGGGACGCAGGGCAGGGAGGCGAGGCCTGGGCTGCAGGCGAAAAGCCTGGGAGGCCCGGCCGGCCGCAGGACCGAGGCTTGCTGCCTGTCTTTGGCCTTCAGCAGGAAAATTTCCATGAGAGGTGCAGAATCTGAGAGCTGAAAGGGACCCTATTGATATGCCAGTCCATTTAACAAGTGGGAAAGAGAACTCAGGTCTTTCTGCAGCGGCCCCAATCCTTAGGCTGTGCATTTACTTAAACCTGTTGGCACGTGGCTCCCCCTGATGCCATGTGGGGCTGGCAGTGTGGGCACGGGAGGAGGAGAGCAGCCAGTCTGTTGACAGAGAGGCCAGTGGGGCACAGGGGAGGGTCCTCCGCCCCTCTTACCCCAGGAAACCAGCTCCTCTGGCCCCCACAGTCCCCTTCTCCCCACCCTGAAAGACGGTCCCTCTGTTTCCAGACTTCCGCCTTAGAACTGAGTCTGCGAAGCTGTCCCCAGGTCTGGGCCTCATGTGGGCACTGCCAAACTAGCAGCTCCACACTTTCCAGCCCTGACAGGGATTCTTTCTTGTACGTGGTCATGCGCTAGGTGGACGGGACAGCAGAGAAGGCACAGACGTGGACGCTCCGGGGCCAGAGAGGGGGGCCAGGGTCTGGGGAGCCTTCAGGCAGCAGATTCCTTCACCTCCATCTTCTGGAGGGGCTGAGCCATCCCTTCCCCCACCCTCAGTTTGAGGCACTGGACCAAGCCATCCCACTTCTTTACTTCTCCAATGAAAACAAAACGCACATTGCCCGGCTTCCTTTTTCCTCTCACCGGAGCCCGGCAAGAGCATGTGTGCACGTGCAAGAGCATGTGTGCACACACACTCACTCACACACACTGAGTCACGCGCACACACGCTCACAAACCCCAGCGAGTGCACACCTCACATTCCCAAACTCACACCCAGGGCCGGCTCCTTTTACAACAGGTCCCAGCCTCACATCTCAAACCGGTTCTCTCTCGTGCTCTCAGATTCCTGAAGCGTTTAGGGACTGCTTGTAACTTTTTTCTTTCTCTGCCTGCAGTCATTCTGGCCTCCGTATCTTCTGGTCCCCTCTCTCCTATTCACCCTGCAGAAACTCAAGGAGATGAGGGCTCAGAAGTGGAAATGTTTCTGTACTACCCCAGTCCTAGGCTTCTCACGCCCCCCCCACCCCACTCCCATGGGGGGGCATGTCACTGAGAGAAGAGAGGTCAAAGGGATTCCAGAGGAATTTCTAAGCAGTCCACCCCCCTTCTCCACCCTTCTGGAGAAATGAGGGGGGTGGGCTTAGAGGGAGTTGACTGAAGATCAAACTCCAAGAATGGGGACTCCTCAGTGTGGCCTGGATGGGGCACTGGCAATAGTGGGGCCACCCTCTCCCGCTGACACGGTTATGGTTTTCATTTCATATTTTAGAGGGAGGGGCTAGGAGGAACAGTCCCCTCACTGTAAGAGCTGGCCACAGGAGCCCAGGGAAGCGGGGAGGAGAGGAAACAGCCACATTAAAGAGGAAGAGAGGGGTGGGGGAAAGAAAGAGAGAGACACACATACACCCAGACAGAGACCCGGAGAGACGCACCGAGACAGAGAGACACTGTTTGCCACCAGATGAATGCTCTGTCCCCGGGATGGTTTACTGGGAAATACACGACTTTATCAAAATGAGGAGAGAAAACAACCAGGTAAACTAAATGTCCAGCTGGCTCTCCTCTGGCTGAGCCTGCCCTGGGGACAAGTTTCCCCAGGAGGCCTGCCTGGAGACCTTTTCATTCAGCTGTAACCTGAGCCCTAAGAGAGGATTTTTAACTACTGCTGCAAGCCCCCTACACCCCCACCCCCCACCCCCCAAAAAGCAAAGCAAATTAATGCTTTTAAGTTAACAATTATCTTGGTTATCCAGTCTGTCTACTTTAACATACACAGACAGGCACTTGGAAGAGACTCAGAACCGTGTACCTCATGCTCACACACTCCCAGGTACACAAGCTTATCCACACACAGAGCTCTGCACTTAGCAGCTTAGTCATAGTAGACTCAGACACCCAGTGTCACCTATGGGTGATGGGGTAATCCTCTCTCTCTCAGCTGCTTTCCTTGTCCCATCCATTTCTTGTCCTTGGCCCCTTCAATTTCAGACCATTCTGGGAATATCTCTGGAGAAAAGCACAGAGACCCAAATATCCCCAGAGGTATAGTAACTCAGTGCAAGATGCATGCCAGGGGTTATTTGTATTTTAAAGGCGAGTTAGAGCTTCACTGAAAAAGCACGTGGCATTTAAGGCACCCCATGGAGCACAGGTTGAAAACCCGGAGCAAGGGCCTTCCATGGCACTCTGTCTGTGGGTACTTGTGCTTCCTGCAGGTCTGGCCTCTGGATTTGGGGGATTTGGGTGCAGAGATGTCCCTCTAACCCAGTAGACCTGTTGGTAAGCAATCTCCTGAGGCCAGGTTGACAAATGTCCCAAACAGCAGGGTCAAAGGAAAGAAGATGCAAAGCTAATTGCAGCCCAATTGTGGCTGGTGAATGAGATAAACAGTGGATAAAACTATTAGTCTGTAAGTTCCTCGAGGGCAAGTCCTTCCACCCTGCTTGCATTTCCCACAGCACCCAGTAGGGTGTCCTGTCCAATAAAAGAGGGAGCCCTGGAGTACCTTGGTGAGATTGGGAGTCCTGTCCTTGAGGGATGGACTGATGTCCCAGACTTGAGAGCCTCGGCTTGACAGTATCTGTCCGATCTAAGCGCCTGCCCCCAGAAAGCCCACTGATAATACTACTTGCTCCCCCTTTTGCCGCCAGCCCCCCAACCTCACTAAGCCACCACAGACACTGGCTCCAACTTGAAAGACGCTCTTATCTTGTCTCTAGATTACTGTATGAAATCTGTTCCTTCCTTCAGACTAAACTCCCTAGCTAATTCCATGTTATGAGTAAGTCAGCACACACTACAAAAGCCAGCTTTGTTTATGAAAACACAGGCAAATCCACAGTGGGAGTGGGGTTGCTCCCAGGCTGAGGGTGGCAGTGGTAGTGGGCTGTCTGGAACCAGGACTGGAGAGAAGGCAGTTTGGAGTTGGGAGGGGCCAGGGTGGGGGCTGGCAGCTGACAGCTAAGGGTCTCTAGTGTTGGGTACTGTTAAAGGACAGGTTAGAGGAGGTCAGGGAAGAAGCAGTGTTGGGGAGAACGGGATGGCACTGACAGAACACCTTTTTTTCACCAGAGTGGGGACCCACTGGGCACACAGAGCAGCTTCAGAGAGGAGTGCTCAGGCTCTGGGACACAGCGACCTGACCGCCAGCCACTCTGCTTCCCCAACTCCCAAGTTCAACTTTCCCTTCCCGTCCCGCCAACCTCTACACCCCAGCATGGCTTCAGGAACCTCTGGGACAATAGGCAGACTCATATCCTCCTGGGCAAGGCCTTGCCAGGAGGAATTTTCTTTTTGTACATATAAATCTCTTCCTGGGTGAGAACATGATGGGGGGAAGGGTGCAACAAGAGGTCAAGGGGGGAGGGGAAGCTGTCCCCAGGAGAACTGTGGCCCACCAGTCTGGTTTCTGCCAGCACAGCCTTGGGACTGGCCAGGCCCGGGGTCAGCGCTGGGGGTGGGAGGGCCTCCCTGTCTCTCTCTTTAATTCCTAGAGGGATCTGTCAGAGCTCCCTGGCCTGGAATTTTACTTTGTTATTTTAATGCAATTCTGACCTGGATTTAAATGGAATTGGAAACCCGAGGCCTTAATAAATAAATATTATGATAAGAAATGAAAGCCATGCAAGACGAAAGAGATCCCACTCCACCCCTCCCAAAAGAGGCAAAGAAACGCGACATTCTTGCTGAGAGCCCGAGCTCGGAAATTTTCTCTTCTTCAGCCCTTGCCATCCACTGGGAGACAAGTTGGTTTTTCCATAAACGAGCCTATTTTCCCACTGATAAGACAACAACTTGGCAATTTCGATCTAACTTTGCAGGAGGGCTGGGGGTAAAGGGGAAGAAATATATAGCATGACTGAAGTTTTTATTCTTAGTCTCTCTGAACTTAGAGCCACAACTTAAGTTTCTGGCAACGTGTGAGAGAAGAGAAGACGCTCTCTTGTACTTCTGGAGGACACGCAAGTCTTTTGTAGATGCTAGGGTGGCAGCGAAGTCGGGCAGAATTCTGAGCCCAACTCATCCCTGCCGCCTCCGGCTCCTTCAGCCTTCCGCCCGGGGCGCTGCACCCAGAGGTCAGGTCCCCGCGGGGGCGTCCGGGTGCACCGTGCCAGGTCCTGACAGCAGCACGCTCCCCAGCACCTGCCCTGTCCCTCGGGAACCGCGTCCCGGCGCTTGGGTCCCGCAGCCCCCGCAGCCCCACGGCCGTGCGCCCCTCCTTCCTTACCTTGCGCGGCTTTGCTGTGCTGGGCGGCGCGAGCGTGGACCAGCAGGACGAGCAGGCAGAGCCCGGGCACGCGCCCCGAGCCCATGGTTGGCGCTCCCCGCG